CGCGGATTGGAGAGCTAGGATTTGAAGATTTGCTTTCGGGTAAGTCATCTTTCTAGTTTTTAATTCCACACTTTAGCTACTTTTTCACAATTAGAGACAATTAGGATTTAAAAAAAAAAGGATTTTATTTTTTTTGTTAACCATAATAAAATTCATCCTCCACTTTGATATTTACTAACAAGATAATAAATTCAAACAAATCCCCCATTCTCATTTGTTTGATTGTTAACCCTAATTAAAAAAAAAGATTTTTCTTTTCCATCCTTTTTAGTTGCTTTTAATTCATAGGGTTGCATTTCATATAGTGTAGGAATTCACCAAGTGATTTGAGCATCTTGATTTGACACACACTTAAAAATATTTTTAAGGGCAAAACCCCATAATCAAGATAAGGTGAGGGATTTCATCACCCTTTCCTTAGCCCAAAAATCACTAATTCCTCACTACACCACCCAAGCCTAATAAAACTCATTAGACGTTGGCCCCTAAGGATTCGAGCTCAATAAGGAACAAGAAATCCTTAAGTGAACCGGTTTAAGTTTTCTCAGATTAGTTGGTGTCTAAGGCAAGGTTTAGGGGTTGCGTAAAGCGCTCCGTAAGGAAAGAGGTACTTAATTGATCTTTGATCACCCTCTAGTACTATCCTTACCTGGCTAACTACCTGGGTAAAACTTTTATTTTTTCACTGTAGGAGTTTTTGGTTAGGAGTTGGTCTAGTGAATTAGGCTAAACCCTAGAATTAGAGTGATTGAAAAGTGATTGTTTTGATTTGTTTTAGTTAGGATTTTTCTTTTTCTTTATCTTCTCAAAAAAAAAAAACTAATTTTCTTTCTTTTCTTTAAAAAAAAAATTTAAAAAAATAAAAAGAAATATTTTGGTGTATGCAACAATGGATTAGGGATAATACACATCGACTAATTCGCTTTGAACCAATCATAGAAATGGAGCATCCTAATCCACCCGTTCTTCATGATATGTGCTATCCCATTAGAAATGCAATCCCCTCATGCATTAGGCTCCCCGAAACAAATGGAATAAGTTTTGAGCTTAGACCGCAATACATAAACATGCTTCCCAAATTCCTTGGTAATGAAACAGAAGACGCATATATTTTTATTTCGGAATTTGAGGAAGTGTGTATTATGATTAAAATGAGAGAATTAAATGAAGATGCGGTTAAGCTTAGATTTATTCCATTTGCTCTTAAGGATAAAGCTAAAAAATGGCTGTACAGCTTACCAACAAATTCCATCTCAACTTGGGATGAATTTGTCACCGTTTTTCTTAAGAAATTTTTTCCTATTCATAAAACGGTAAAGCTTAGGAACAGCATTCAAAACTTTAAAATTATCCCGGGAGAACCTTTTTGGAAGTATTTTGACCGATTTAAAGATCTTCTCATCCAATGTCCTCATCACGGTTTAGAGAAATGGCGATTGTGCCAAATAATTTATGAGGGATTAGATTATTCTGCAAAAACTTCCTTAGAATCAATGTGCCACGGGGATTTTATGAGGAAAAATGCTGATGAAGCTTGGGAGTTTTTGGAGAGTCTTTCTGAAAAAACAATGCAATGGGAACAGTGCGATGACAGGGTTTCATCAGTTCCCCATTCTAAGTCTAGTGGTCTTTCCTTGGAGTCAAACATTGCTTCTGAAGCGAAGATGGCGACAATTCTGCGGAGGTTAGAAGCCTTAGAAATTAAGGAACGAGCTCCAGCTCAACTCAATCATGTTTCTTTCCCAGGATGTCATAATTGTCAGTCTCCTACCCACGTTTCAGAGGAATGCCCTCTCCTAGGAAATAACAACGCAATAGAACAGATGAACGCTGCATTCCAGCACCCTAGAAATGATCCATTTTCTCCAACCTACAATCCAGGTTGGAGAAATCATCCCAACTTTGCATGGAATCTAGGAAATTCTCCCGGAACTCAAAATTTCACTCCCGCTTCGACCCAACATTTTCCTAGGGGAAACACAGTTCCATTCAATTCTCATTCACAATTTCAACAACCCAATCTGCCGTATCAAAATCAGTCTCCTCCTCATCAAGCTGTAATTCAAACTCCTCACAATCCAGATCAAGATAAACGTCTCAATGTCTTGGAAAGGGGTTTAGAAACCATAATTAAGGCCTCTACTCAAACCACGAATATGTTGACTCAAACATCTAGCACGTTGAATTCCTTCATGCAATCAACCGGACAAATGCTCAACTCCAACACTCAAGCTATAGCTAGATTAGAATCCCAACTTGGTCAACTAGCTAGTGCCGTGAGTGAAAGAGAGAAAGGAAAATTTCCGAGTCAACCCGTGGTCAACCCTAATAACACAGGATGCAGTTCATCCTATGAAGCTCAAGTGAATGCAATCCATTCACTTCGGTCAGGTAGACAGGTCGATAATCAAGTGAGAACTCCGCCAAGTCAAACTCTTGATCCTGTACAAATTCCTTCTCCTTCTCCTTCTGATGAATCTATTCAACAATCACTCCCCTCAGATGACCAAGAACCTGAACCCGAACCTGAGCCTGCTTTTGATAGATTTAGACCGGTTGCTCCCTTTCCAGATAGACTCAGGTCTAGGAAACACTCTCCTCAGGAGGAGAAAATCCTAGAGACATTCAAGCAGGTTAAGGTCAACATTCCTCTCTTAGATGTAATTGAACAAATTCCATCTTATGCTAAATTTTTAAAAGAATTGTGCACTAAGAAGAGGAGAATAAATGTCCCAAAGAAAGTCTTTTTAGCCGCCAATATCAGTGAAATGCTGTCAAATCCCATACCTTTGAAACGTAAAGATCCAGGTTCCCCCATCATTTCATGTATCATTGGTAATACTCACATTGATAAGGCGCTTTTAGACTTAGGGGCCAGTGTCAATTTGCTTCCATATTCAGTCTATCAGCAATTGGGTCTAGGTGTACTGAACCCAACCAAATGCACCTTACAGTTGGCTGATAGATCTGTCAAGGTCCCTATGGGTGAGTTAGAGGATGTTCTGATTAAGGTTGGAGATTTTATTTTTCCAGTAGATTTTGTAGTCTTGGAAACACAGCCTGTTTCCAATCCCAAAGGACAGACACCTGTCATCTTAGGACGACCGTTCTTAGCCACTTCTAATGCTCTCATCAACTGTAGAACTGGTCAAATGAAGCTGTCCTTTGGGAATTTGACTGCTGATCTCAACATTTTTAATCCAGGGGACCAACCAAATAATCAGCCTCTAGAAATAAACTACATTCAGGAAAGATCAGAAGAAGAAGAAGAAGAAGAAGAGTGTGATTTAAGTTTTGAGGAAATTTTTGATGAAGAGTTAGAGTTTTTAGAAGAAGCAGATCAGGTCCTTGAGAATAATAAAACTGTGTTAAACATTTGCTGCTTTGAATTAAATTTTGAAGAACTCTTTCTTGATGAACTTAGATTCTTGGAGAATAATCAACAACCAAATTTTCAGAACTTCACAGAAGAATTGGTTGTTAGAAAACAAAACTTCACAGTACAAGAGTCTAAGTTCATTAAGAAATACAAAATGCATGACACCAATAATACCTACCTTACCTTGTTGCAAGAATTATTGAACACCCCGAAATGCTTAAAAATTCACATTATTGATTATATCATTCTGAATTTGTTTAAAATCCGGGGAAGAATTTTCAACAGTAAGGTAGGATTCAATGTAGAACAGGAACTCTTCATGTTGAATATTTCATTCTACATTGTTTATTTTGTTTATTTCAGAATAATAAAAAGAATTTATTCTTCTCTCATTTGAGAGTTTCTTGTTCAGTTGCTTAAAAGAAAAAGAAAAAAAAAGAGAAAAAAAAGAAAAAAAAAGAA